TAAATAAGTTCATTTGTGTCTTTCTTTCTTTTTTTTTTAGATTCCACATATAAGTAATATCATGTGATATACTTCTTTCTCTTTCTGGCTTATTTCACTTAGAGTGATGATCTCCAGGTCCATCCATGTTGCTGCAAATGGCATAATTTTATTCTTTTTTTATGGCTGAGTAGTAGTATTCCATTTTATAAATATACCACAACTTCTTTATTCAGTCATTTCAAAACACTCCTTGACAAAATAGAAACAGCAGCAATATTTTTTGATCCATCTTCTAGAGTAAAGGAAATAAAAACAAAAATAAGCAAATGGGGCCTAATTAAACTTAAAAGATTTGCACAGCAAAGGAAACAGTAAACAAAATGAAAAGACAACCTGAGGAATGGAAGAAAATATTTGCAAGTGATGCAATTGACAAGGGATTAGTTTCGAACATATACAAGCAGCTCACATAGCTCAATATCAAACAAACAAACAAACAATCCAATAAAAAAGTGGGCAGAAGACCTAACAGGCACATGAAAAGATGTTCAACATCACTAATTATTGGAGAAATGCAAATCAAAACTACAATGAGGTATCACCTCACAGCAGTAAGAATGGCCATCATTAAAACATCTACAAATAATACATGCTGGAGAGGGTGTAGAGAAAAGGAACCTTCCTACACTGCTGGTGGGTATGTAAATTATTGGTACAGCCACTATGGAAAATGGTATGGAGATTCTTTAAAAAACTAAAAATAGAGTTACCACATGATTCAGCAATCCCATTCTTGGGCATATATCTGAGAAAACTCTTAATTTGAAAAGATACATGAACCCCAATGTTCAGAGCAGCACTATTTACAATAGCCAAGACATAGAAACAACAACCTAAGCAACAACCTGTCCATCAACAGATGAATGGATAAAGATGATGTGGTATATAGTATATACAATGGAATACTACTCAGCCATAAAAAGGAATATAATGTCATTGCAGCAACATGGATGGACCTAGAGATTGTCATACTAAGTGAAGTAAGTCAGACAGAGAAAGACAATTATCATATGATACCACTTATATGTGGAATTTTTTAAATGACAGAAATGAACTTATTTACAAAACATAAAGAGACTCACAGACACGGAAAACAAACTATGGTTACCAGGGGGAAAAGGGAGAGGGATGGATAAACTGCAATCTGGGATTAGCAGATACAAACTATTATGTACAGAATAGATAAATAAGATCCTACTGTATAGCACAGAGAACAATACTCAATGACCGTAGTGATCTGTAATGAAAAAGAATATAATATATATAACTGAATCACTATGCTGTACTGCAGAAACTAATACAATATTGTAAATCAACTATACTTACATTTTTAAAAAGTTAAAAAAAATGAAGTTGCTCTTAAGAAAAGGGTCTGATATCAAGTGGTATTAAAAAGGATAAAGTCCAATCAACTTCTTTGAAACTACAACTCCGATGATGGGGGCTAAAATGCAGGAGAAGATCTTGGAGTCACATGGGTCTTCAAGGAGCACAGTCCTGGTCTCATGATGAAGATGACAAAAGATGACAGGGGCATCTGGGGAGGCTGTTGTATCTGTCTGACAGTCTGTAGGTTAAAGAGTGGGTTGATTCTGATGACTATGGTGAGATTTTCCTTCCTCCTACTCCAAAAAGGTAAATGGCCAAGCACTGCCTGGTCTTGAGAGGGCCCTTCACGTGAATATTATAGATTGTGAACATTTATTTACTTTTTATTTTGGTGGAAAATGTTTTTCCTAACTAGTAGTGTGATTATGACACAGAAGAATAGTTCTGCTTTCAGCTCAGCAAAATAGTAGGGGAAAGACCAAAAAAAAAAAAAAAAAAGCAGAAAAGAAACGTTTTCCTCAGGCTTTAAGGAAGAGTAGCTACCTCCATAGTCAGTGAGGAGCTTTCAGGATCACCTCTGTAATCTCATTCACCCTTAAACCCTCCACATCCACTGCAGTCAGGAGGGGATTTCGCTGGCCCCCAAGAAGGCAGTCCTCATGCCTGTGTTGTCTTCACAGGTTGAAGGTTGCCTTCTCTTCCCTACTCTGATTCATTAAGGTCAAACTTCAAATTCAGCTTAGGAACACCCCTTCTGCTATCCCTGCCCATCACTACTCCAGCTTAG